GCCTGCGCGGGGCGGCCGGGCGGCGCACTGCGCCTGCGCGAGGGGCGGCCGCGGGGGGTTGTGGGATACTGCGGCCCGGGCAGGCTGGTGAGGCGAGCGGCGGCGGGCGCGCGGCGGGCCGGAGAACGGGCCGGGCCGGGGCTCGCGGGCAGCTCGGCCGGGCCTGCACTGCCCCTAACGCGCTCTCCACCCTCCCCCGATGTGTTTGCAGCAGCGGAGCGGGCGGCAGCGCGATGGCTTCCAGCAGCGGCACCGACGTGATCCAGGTCACCAACGTCTCCCCCAGCGCCAGCTCCGAGCAGATGCGGACGCTCTTTGGCTTCCTGGGAAAGATCGAGGAGCTGCGGCTCTTTCCCCCCGAGTGAGTGCCGCCGCGCCGCCCCCGCCAGCCCGCGGCCCGCCTCCCGCCGCCGCGAGGCCTGCTAGGCCGCGGCCCGCCCGCAGCCTCTCAGGGACCCCCTTCCTTTCCTTCCTTTTCCTTCCTGAGGCGGCGACGTTGCTGCTGTCCCGCATGGCACAGAGCCGCAGTGCCTACCGGCCATCCGATCTCAAAGCAAAAAGAGACACTTTTTTTTTATTTCTTCCTGACTATTTTCCAAGCCCCCTTGGCTCTCAGTGTGCCCGGGGGAGCTGCTCAAAGCTGCTTAGATAACTGCTTTGTCTGCCCACGGGAAAAAGGATATTTGGTGTCACCCATTGCACGTGAGAGTCCGTTTGGCGACTGCACTTTATTCCCTACTGGGCTGCTTGTGCTGTCTGCCTGCTCTCCAGAGTTGTTGGCAGGTCTTGGAAAGTTAGCGTTCAAAATAACCTGAACATGTGTGGTCCSTACAAGGACTTCTCAATGAAATGGGAACTTAATAGCTGATGTGTAAATAATACATTTGTATGTGTCTGTGAGTGTCAGCTAGGAATTCACATTGATTTTGGCTGTGTTACTTTGATTTGTTTTATCAAGGAGCTGCAGATCAATAGAGGCTTATGGTCATATGTTAAGTTTTTGCATATATACCAGGAAAAAAGCTTTTTTTTTTTTTTTTTTATGATTGATGAGTTAACATTAGAATATGATTTTGTTTGTTTTTTTTCTAGTTACTTATTATAGGTAAAACCATTGAGATCTTTTCATTTTAGAAAAAAGAGCTATGAGAACCTCCTCTTTTCATTGTTCATTTTTCCTTGGTCAGTTGCACAACTGGCATGAATTATTAAGGAAATTTTTGTCTCCTGCTACTTGGTTATGTGCACAAACTCAGTAAAATCAGAAAACAGTATTTCTGATGTTCTTGCAGTTTCTTATTTTGGGCTGCCCATTAGCAATTTCTTGTTGAAATTAAGTGTAAAATAAAGTGGAATGTACATGGAACTGGAACTTAAGGGCTAGTACCTGACAGRAGTAGTTTTGTTATGAATATCTGGGGTAACTGTACTTAGATAGCAAAACTATTAATGGTCAGCAACCAACAAAGTGAACCACCCTTAAAGATATGTATTTTATTTGATTCATTGCTTCCTACTTCATTTTCCCCATTTTTAAGGTAGATAATTACACGTAAATTTTCTTTCTGAAACCTTGTRCTGTTTTTGATATATATTAACTAATGTGTTAAGAGATCACTTTTGTGTTTTCTAAATGAACTGTGGCGGGGAGAGGGCAAGCAAACAACTTTGCAACTCTCATTTTACCACACTTGGTGTGGTATGATCTTAATTTAACTCCGTTGCACAAAGCTATTGTGAAGTATTGGCTCTGTAGGGCTGCACTGTACAGCTGATGGACCTACCTTGATATTTGCATTGGAGAAAGGCCTGTGATTGTTTTTTTATTTGTTTGCTTTTTTTTTTTTTTTTTTTTNTTTTTTTTTTTTTTTTTTTGGTAGAGTTTGGATGAAAGAAGACAGATAGTTTCCTGTTGTTTCCAGAGTTGTATCTTTGTACTTGTAATGTTTAATGTTGGCCATTAAGGCAAGCTTCCCGCTTTGTGTTGGGGCAGAAGTTTGTGCTTCTGCAGAAGTGATAGGGCCTTGTATTTGCCTGCTTGCTTCTGCTTCCTTTGTTCTGACACTGGCATTCATGTGAGTTCAGCTGGGTCCCTTCCTTGGGATAGACAAATAGTAGCTGCCCCATGACTGCCCTCCACAAGGGCTGTGCATTGAATGAGGACAATACAACATAAACAACCTCAGAAAAGCAGGTTTCAATATCTCAAATAGGTCAACTACATTTTCTTCAGATCCCTACATGAAAGAGGATGACACATTCTGTAGGGATATTGTGACAGTATTTACAAAAAAACCCATAACACTACTGTAATTAGAACTATATAGAAAAACTATCAAGCACATTAAGACAAAATGGGAAATACAGTGTAGCTTAAATAGGTCATGTACAGAACATTAATAAAATATTGAATAGCTGCTGAAATGAAAAATATAATTTATTCCCATTGCAAAATATGGATCTGGTGGAAACACAGCATGCAATTACTTAAAACTKCATATGCAGTTTAAGTAGAATAAAGGTGGTGCAGCTGAAATTGAAGTGGCACTTTCTGAGGCCGGTAGGGTCCCTATCTTAGGGACATTTAGTGCCATTTCCTTTGTGGTGATGTCCCAAGACTACCAGAGCTCTGGCTGCTTTAGATGCACCACGGCCTCTGTGGAGGTGCATGATACCTGATGGCAGCAGAGGGCAGCAGTTTGCTGTGTCTGACCGTTTCACAGGTGCTTAAATTTAGAGATGTTTTGGAGTGTATGGTTTCATTTCACCATGGAGAAGAGTGTATTTTCTAAGACGGACAGTTTCCCAYTCTCTCCACTTGTCCGTCTCCATATCCCAGTTTGTTTATTGTGCCATTGCTGTTTGTTACCATGTGAGTTTTGGGTTTTTATTTTTTGGGTGTGTGTGTGTGTATCTCAGCTTCATATTACATGTATTTAATTCACAACCATTTATAACTTCCTGCGTTTTCTTTTTCCCTCCATTCTTCAGCTCTAAATTCAATCTGAGTCACTTTCTGCCAACTCCATTGCCCAGTTCTTGCCTCTGTAGCTTCATCCTCCATGGCTGGCAAAAATGAGAAGTGGAGGGAATGGATTCTGAGAATTGTAAAAAATAAAATATTGTATAAGCTGATTGTATTTATATTTCAGCATATTCTGTTCAGTATATGAAAGCTGAACCTTTATGACAGTTTTAGAACTTGTCTGTATTTGAGTGCAGATGTTTTTTGATTTTTCAGAACACAGCTGAAGTTCAGAACACAGCTGAACACTGACAGACTAGAATTTACATAAAAACTGAAGTTTCTACCTAAAACTTGGAAATGAAGGAACTTACAAAAGGACTGTTTCTAGAATGTAATAGGGCAACTGGTGTTTATCTGATCGTATTCTTAGAAATGAAGATCCATTCATCCATTCATGAACACAAAATTTTACCCAGAAAAAAAGCATGGATATGGGAAAAATTCGATCAGCGAAGTTAAAGTTTGATAAAATCAGGAACTTATTTCATAATAAGAATATTTTTATATGTTGGGTGACTTTATAATTGGCAAGATCTTTTTACCTTCTCTGCAATGACGGCAGATTGAACATTATACAAAGATTCTGTTGAATATAATATTTGGTTGCAGTTAGCACTGATTGACCTCCCCCCTCCCTCATGCAACTGAGCAAAGTGATATTAAAGAGCATGTGTCACACAGCCTGCTGTTAACTCTAGCCTGGTTTGTTTGTTTATTTATCAAACATCAAAAGTCTTATTTAATTGTTAGAGCTATCTATTTCAAAATACATATCTTAACGTTTTAAGATACAGGCTACAAAATGAGGAGACTTTGGTGAAAGAAGCCTAGAGATCGAGAGCTGTGAGGGTTGGATTGCCCTCACATACATTGATTTTTGCTCAGTTACAGCTTGAATTTAGGAGAGATTGGAAATACAGTTCTAAAATACATAAGGCTATACCCCATGAAATAGTTTATTTTAAGCCTCCATAGGTTTGGCCATTTGTCATTACTGTTCTGTATGTAGTGATACTTAAATGTTTTATGATGCGTATGTATGAATGGAATATGCTCCATTACATATTCCTATGCTGCCACAGCCATTTGAATCTTAAATTCGAAAAGATTGTGCTATGCTTATCAGTAAGTTGCTTAATCTTTATATRTATGTATATACATATAAAATTTAATCAGAATGCCATTCACAAATACTGTAACTCCTTGATTTCCATCCCTCCTTTTTTATTTACTGTGAATTTTGTTAAACATTATCTGCCAGTGCTTCTTATTGTTCAACCAGAAGAGTAAGAAAATGCAGTGTTTTGAAAAGCTGCTGTGTGTTTAATAGATGTAGAAAATTGAAACAATTATCTCATTTGTATCTCGGTGAGATTCCCCAGAATATAACCTTCTTCTCTGTTAGATCTGCAAGATGTTGAATGGAGCAAGTGTTTCTGGTTTTAACAGTTTTTAAACTTCGCTTATGCTGGCTCCGAATCGTAATATCCAACTAAATAAAAAGTATATTAAAATGTAGTCTGATGTTTATTTAGGAGAATTCTTGTGTTTACTTAACTTGCATGTTGGGCTGCTGTGGTTAAGGTTAGGTAGTGTTGAGTATGTGCACAAACACAATAGATAATAGACATCTTGCTGACTGGTGTGAAAGACTCTCTCCTTTATGCTGAATTGTGACAACCCGAGAAGAAAAAATCTTCTCGGAACTAGGAGGCGTTTTGAGTATCTAGTCTTGTAATTGTTTCTGCATATCCAGTGGAAAAGGTACCCATTGCCGCTTCAAATTAGACAATGTTTTTCAAGGGTAGCTTTCTAGACTAGCTTATACCTCATTATTTGAGGGCACATCTGAACAGCACAAATAACTAGGTCTTGCTTAGGCAGTAGGATGTTCAGGACTCATTGCTACTTTTAGTGCTTGCCAGCCTACAGTTCTTCCCTTTTGCTGTAGGAAGTAGACATTTATATTCTGTAAAAATGCTCAAAACACTCGCATTCTCTTTTGGGATTTTCAGTGTGTAGAATTTTTACATAGCTCTGCTGACAGATACTTAACTTGAGCTGTGGAGTTCATATGAACTTATCTTGCTTGTGAAGAAGTTTCCATTTACTCATTGTTTAGAAACCTTTAACCAATTAGTGAGATTGAAACTGTGTGCTGTCTACATGAGATTCTTGAATTTGGGCAGGGGGATTAGTTCTGTTTCTACTGGATGATAAGCGCACAGTAAGCAGTGTGCTTCTGCTCCAAATGAACTTGACTAGTTATATTTGTGTGAGGGTCTGACTAGGAAAAGAAGCACAGTGAAGTATGGCTTAAGATTTTGTGTGAAATGGTATTTTTTTTCCCATGAAATTCTAAAATCAATAAAATCATTGTGATCTTTTAGTCAYTACCCTCTTAATTTCATAATCCATCTTTAAAAAAAAAAAAGAATTGGTGCCTAAAGCAGACAATGTAAAATTGCTGCTTTTATGAACTTACTTGGTATATATGATAGGTTATTCTTTGTATTTYTCTGCAGAATTTTCATTGCCTCCTTCCCTTTCCATAGTGAGGACATGCAAAATAATTTGCACTTTTGTGACTGGTCATATATATTATAGCTAATAAAATTTAGAATTCATCCTCCGTTATAAATGAGGTAATAAAACTATTACTGTGACTTTTTTTCAGGAAAGTGGCTTCATTCATTGTAATTCTGTAACTATGGTCATGAAAACTGATGTTTGATAGTAAAATTGAAGTCATATTCTTACGTAAAGAAGTACACCATTGTCAAATATGACTTCCTAGTTCATTGAAAAGGGAGAGACAGTAAAAGTTTGAAAATAAGTTTGAAAATGATGAACTTGCTTCCATCTAATTACTTTTTTTTCTGTCTTTTCTAGTGATTCTCCTTTGCCTGTTTCTTCACGTGTCTGTTTTGTTAAGTTCCATGATCCTGACTCGGCAGTTGTGGCCCAGCATCTGACAAACACTGTATTCGTTGACAGAGCGTTGATAGTCGTACCATATGCTGAAGGTTTGTGCATTGTTTAATGGCCTATGAAGCCACCGGGTGGTGGCGTTTTATTCCAATATAGTTCATTAGAGTGAGGCTTAGGAAAATATAAAACATACGAGATACCAACATTTTAAAACCCTTGGTATATTGCCATTGGCATGTGGATTAAATATTTTTTTATTTAGTGACACTTAATGAAAGTGGAAAGTTAACCTTTTGCTGTTCTTATGCGTCTTAAGTTTAGAATATTATTACTTTAGAGAGAATTATTAGCAAATTGTGCTGTTTATTAACTTTAAGACATTCTTCTAAACAGACTTATCCAACAGGTGAATATTTTAAAGAATTTTTGCCTTAATAATTGATTATTTGCTATTTGCACATATGCCTAAATATCTTAATGAGAGTTGTTTCTCTCTCTAAGAGTACATGGGAGAATAGTTTGACTTTTTTTTTGAGATGTGCTGCCACTTCATTTAGTTAAGAACTTCCCTAAAAAAGCACTCACTCTCATTGTGAACTTCAGTATACCAAGGGTTTGGATAATTGTGGTTTAATTTCCAAGTGAAATTTTCCAAGAGGTGCCAAATGGGCACTGGTATTAGTTTTTATTCCAAGTTTTCTTGTTCAGCCTTGCTATATTTTATAGAATTTCACTAAATAATAAACTCTTCTCTCTGTTATTTGTGTGTGTGATTTTTGTAGTGGAGAAGGCAAATGCAAAGCCCTTCCAGATGACTGAAAAACAGTGGGTCCTCTGCAGCTACAGGGGATTCTAGACATTAACTAAAGGCCAGCAAGCACTCAAGTCCCCAAGTGTTTTCCTGGTGTAACCACTTGTTAACTACATTCTCTCTTCTTCTTTTTATTTTTACATTTTAGGGTGTTACAGTAATTTGAAGGGCAATGAGCAGGGTTTTTGGAACTTACCTTAAAAACAATCTGCTGAGAAGACAACACTTCTTACAGAAGTCTTATTAAACTCTTCTAGACTTGCTTTATAAGTAATTTGTTTCCACTGTTCTATTTCTTGGTTTACTTCTGAAAACATAKTTTTTTCTAAGTCATTTGAATAAGACCTCTGCAGATAAGTCATACTATATGAATTAAACTGGTATACGGTCTTTGTTCAGACCTTTTAGTAAGATATTGTAATGCTGTAGGCTCTCCTTTGGGGCCTTGGGAGCTGTCATAGATTCGTATTCCTCAAATTGATAAGATGTGAAATCTTAGTTCACTTAAAGAATCCAGGGTTAGTGATTGAGACACGGTACTTTGTTGAGAGTACAGACAACGTTCCAAAATTGTAATTACTGCTTCCGCTTTCACTAGTTTAGTGAAATATAGCATAGTTGAAAGGCCTCTTGTCCTAATCTTTGCATTAAAGTGTGCTATCCTAACAGTCCATCTGAGTTAGTGCTGAAATATTCTCCAAGGCCCACATGTAAGAATGCTAGAGTATACCTTTGATAAGAATAAAGCAATTTTCTGTTTGTCAGTCTGATTTTGTCTGTTGTGCTTGATGGTGGATAAATCTGGCACACAGAGAAACTGGACCAGTAGTTTCGGTTCAGAACATGTAAAGTTAAAAGTTTATTAAATATAATAAAGTAGTACATTCTATTGGGCCTGTTTAAATCAAGGAATTCCTCATGGGCTGTTCCTTGTGGTGTTCTGGTGTTAAGAATGCTGGTATTTTTGGCATAATGATGCGGCATACCACAGCAGATACGTTTTGCCAATGAAATTATGCCTCCTGGTTTTGTAATATTMTCTGCTTTTGTCCATGACCTGGAGGATAGTTTCTCCTCCAAATATGTATTGCCAGGGTCCCAATTCAACAAGTTACTTAAGCACGATACAGCAAGATTCTTAAAACTGTAATGAAATTGCTCATGTGCTTACAGCCAGGCATTTGCTTAACTACTGTGCTGAACTGGGCCCTTTTATCTTTTCTTTTGTATTGTGATAATTCTGTTTCAATATTGCCTGTTGCTAAAGTATATGTTTATTATTTGTTTAGTGCAGTATTTATCCCCTATATCACAAGCGTACTCCAGTTTTAGCATACACAGACATTTTGATGTTGGCTGTTGCTTTGTGTTATAGAACTATGCACAAAGTCTACGGTAAGGTTTAGTATTAATTGTAACTTTTCACTGTGATATTCCTAGATTTGGAAGGAACTCTAATCTTAAAGATGGCTGGGGAGGGGGAGGTATTTAGGTTCTTTGGTTAATGTTTGTTTCTTTTTGTCTGTTTCTTTTTCTTTCATTTCTACACATTCATGCAGTATTTCATGGTTCTAACAAAGCAGCAGTAAAAAAAACTCTTGACGCATGAAAATTAACTGGTGAGGGGCCTCATTGCTTTTTTAAAGTTGTAGTTTATTTCTAAATTTTTTTTTTAAAATAGAGGATCAGATGCATGATTTTTTTTAATGGATGCAGATCTTCTGTGAGGTGTCTCAAGATAAGTCTGAGGATTTGTATTTAGATGCCAGAAATGTTGTAGTTACACTAATTTGAAATGTCTAGATATACTTTATAAATATCCTCTGAGACATAATTTTGCATGCAAAATTACCCCATAATCTCTGTAGGTATGTTAATTTATTGATGCATTAATGCCCTTTATCTAAATGACCTTTTTCCCCCCCTCTCCCTCCATAACTTTTGGTATCTAAATTGATGACAGCTCAATGACACAAGCAAGATAACAGTGCTGTGTATTATACATTTGTTTATATTATCGGCACTTCTCAGTATAGGTGGAAGGAACCATTACCTTTATTTAACAGTGGTTTTTCTTTTTTGTTGTTGTGTTTTACAGTTCTTTTCCCTGGTTCAGCCTGAACTATATACCAGGCCCTGCTGAAAATACCACCCAACAGTTTTCTTCTGCAGCTTATCCAGTTTCTCTTAAGTGCCCTGTACATATTGTATGTTTTATGATGAGATGCAGTTTCTTAATATGTATTACAGAAACACTACTGGTATTTGCAAATATATAGTAAATTTGTTTTATTGAACTCTCATTTTGGGGGCTTGGGCACATTAACAAATTAATCCATCTGTATAGGGCTTTTGCTGTTGGATAGATTTAAAAATACCTACATAAGTACTTGTTTCACAGTAGGACCCTTAAAATTGTACATGCAGAACAGGCAGTAAAGTAAGACACTTGTCTTAGTTGGCTGCAAGATCTGGGGCCAGAAGTTTCTCCTGAAATGGCAGTAAATAGCAGCATTCTTGGTTCAGTAAGCATGGCACATGTTGGAACGTATGCATTTTACTGCACAGGTAAGGAATGTGCCACAGTATACTGTCTGTATGCACCCATGCACCCACAGACACACATATACAGCGTGTATTTGAAGATCTGCAGAGACTTTCATTTTTATTTGACAAGTCAGCAAAAGCCCTACGCTTGATTCAACAAAGAGTATTTCCATACCTTCTCTTAATTTTTGCAAAATTTATATGGTAGGTGTAAAAGAAAACATAGTGAACTGTACCATATTATTAACCCCTAAATCAAACTTTTTTTGTCTTGTGTATCTTGATTTTTCTGTGTGCTTTATAGTGAAGCAGCCGACACGAGTCGTTGTTCATAAAACAGCTTTTGAAAGTTGAGAGCACACCCCCGGAGAACCGACTGTGCTTGCTTACGTTTGGTTCATGACTTAAAAATCGAGTACAGGTGATGAAATCTTGGCAGTGTTAACAAAAAAGTAGTGTGTATTGTGCTATTTTTTTGCTCTAGAAACTTAACCATTTGTAGAGAAAAAGGAACAGTCAAATTTTCACACATTGAAGTTTCATTCTGACAAAAAAATTTAATGATAAATATTAATAGACAACAAGCTTTGTATTTTAGCCAACATAAGTACTTTCAACAAACTCAGGTGGTGTATCAGGGAGACATTTTCTGGGTGTATTTGTGTTTTTTCTGCCTTTAAGATAGAATGCATTCTAAYGCGTGGCTGTTTCTCTGCAGGAGTTATTCCTGATGAGACTAAGGCTTTGTCTCTCTTGGCACCAGCTAATGCTGTGGCAGGTCTGCTGCCTGGAGGTGGACTCCTGCCTACTCCCAACCCACTCTCTCAGGTAGGCTCTCTGGTTGGACCACAATGAGGGAAGCTGTTCATGTCTCCTGTTAGACTCTGATTTGCTTTGTTTTTTGTTGTTGTTTTCAGGATAAATAGCTTGATATATTAATGCTGGCTAAGGAAATGTTTTAGTTGCTGGATTGTACGGTTACAGACATATGGTCCTGAAACACGATGATACAGGCRTGATTTTTGGTGTAATGGCAATAAATTGCAAAATGGAATCCGTTTCCCTAATATAACATTTCTGTTATCTTACAGCCCCAGTGTTTTATCTCTCATATTCCTCTCTTTTTCTACCGGAAACTTTCATCCAGATGCAAGGAGTACCAGAGATCTCAGAGGCTGGGAGATCCAGCAGAGGCTGTGGAGAGATACCCACCATTAATATTGCAGCTGTGTGGGGAAAAAATTGCAGCTCGTATTGAGTCTTTCTCTGAATACACAAGAATCCATATGAAGATGTTAGAATAACTCGGTGTGGAAAAAGTTTCARTCAAGATACATCATTATCAGAGAACAGATAATCTGAGCAAAAGGGGCAAATCAGTAAGAATTAGGCTCAGTATTCATGCTGCTCTCAGAWCCACTTCATTTTGTGCTTAGCACCTCTTTGTATTGCTTCTGTTATGTTTTCATATCACATGAAAATATGTATTTGCTATTGAATCATCTAGAAGCTCGCTTAAATTTCACTTATTTGGGAAAAAAATAGAAATTTCAGGAAAATGATGGAAAAAAACACGCACTTTTTTCAAAAAAGAAAGTGCGATTATAAATTCTTGGAAATGGCTGTTGAACCAATTTAATTTTAGATCCGTCAGTCTGAATTCAGCCCACTCGCAACCTGTTTAATTCTAGAATTTAACACGTCTGCTTTATGTGATTGTATAGAAAATTGTACTGGATGGTGGTTTTCAAGGGTATGTCAAAAGCCTGAAATGCATCTCTTTATTAAAATGAGATGGGCATCTAACTCATTCAGAATTTTTTAGAATTTTAATTTCTGTTAATGGAATCAGTATGTGGGGATGTGACTTTTTCTTTGAGGTTGCAGGGAGGAGGCCTGTAAGGTTTCAAGAGAAAGAAGGTGAGTCAACTGAAGAGTTCATCGCTGCCTGCGAGCAGAAGCTCCTGCTCCCGAGTTCTCAGCCACGTTGCTTCTGCCTCTTGCTGTTTGCTGCTGTGCAGCTCATCAGATCTTTTTGTGAACCGGTGTGTTAGTTTGGTGCAGGCAGCACAAAAATGTTTTCTGATGGCTCAGTGGGTTGAGCTGTTAGCAAGTGGGTCCCACAACTGCCAGTGCAACTAGAAAGGAGGCTGTGAGAGTTGAGGAAGTCAGAGCAAGACCTTCTGATGAAACATTAAGCAATTATATCAACATATGTGCTTATAAAATCTTATGTTTTGTTACCAAATTTGCATTGGTCATCTCACTTGAATGGCCTGAAAATGAAGTTCTCTTAGGAGGCTTCTAGATGAAAATTTCTTGAGGAATTCTGACTTATGCTATCATGGTTATTTATTCTCCTAGTAGCTTTTTGAATCACTGGCCAGCTTCAATCAAATTTGAGAGATATGCAGTAATGTAATGATTTACTGCCGTTTAACAGGAAATACATTAATTGCAAATCCTAAATTGACTTAGATGTGAGGTGATTGACTCAGAAATTTATAATGAATATTCATTGTAACTCATTTATTGTAACGCAGAATTCCATTTTAAACAATTTCTGGAATTTTTTAGCTTTTTTTTTTTCTCATCTTTTGGGATGCTGAGGAAGAAGAATTTTATGTTAGAGTATTTGTAGAAAAGAAACTTTCATATACTGCGTCTTGAAATACCTGGTAAATGAAAGCTGAAGTACATGTATTGATTTTATTATAATGTTTATTTGGCAGCCTATATAAAACCCAGTACAGATTTCTCCATATGTAATGCCTAGGAATCTTATACTAATAGCCTTTTATCAATTAAGTAAGACTTTATCTAATAGTTACGTTTGTGTGTTACAGATCGGTGCTGTTCCTTTAGCTGCTTTAGGAGCTCCTGCTCTTGATCCTGCTCTGGCTGCTCTTGGGCTTCCTGGAGCAAACTTAAACTCTCAGGTATGTAATACAGTTTCAGTTTTTTCCTTATTGTCCTTAGCAGACATATAGAATGACTAGTTTTCATGATTCCTTTTGTTTTCACAGATATATCTAATCACAGGCTAACAACCTGGAACTTAGATTCTTGCATTTGTACAATAGTTAGAAAATGTCACTTTACTAAATGCTTGGCTCAGCAAAATTTGGATAGGCTGCTGGCTGCTGGCTCTTTAAACTTCTTCCAGTTGTTGTATAATGCAACATTTGTGTTTCAGTACAGCAGGTTCATACAAGACCTTTTTTTAAAAAAAATTGAATAGTCCTTTTCAATTATATCTGTTCTGCAACTGCTAATAATTTAATGCAATTTTAGGAAATCCTTCACTTGGCATTCTTTCTGTGTATGTCAGGTGTTACAGCAGAAGTAATTACGATAATGAGATGACAAATGGGAAAAATATTAATTACATATTAGCAGAATGTAATTGTGATAGGGTAATACGATAGTTTCTTTGTCCATTTGATTGCAGTACTACTTCTGCCTTCGTTTAGCTCAGGAAATGGCTGCCTCTGTTAGAACCAAAATTACAGGGCAGAAAGCATTAGGCTTGTTTATATATCATTGGTCTAACAGGTTATAATGTTATAATGGTTATAATGTCTGGATTTTCCTAAGCACTGCAAAATGTGTTTTTAATAAGATTCTTGAAAGAATTTGCTTGTTGTTCATAGTTCGACATGCTTCCCGTGGGCAGACAGCTTTTCTAATATCCTTTGTATTTTCTTAAAGATAGAGAAATTGTCTGTAAATAACAGAAACTTGGCAGGGTTTCTTTTGAAGTGCTTTGATTCTGCCTGGGAAAGGATCGCTTTTTGGCTTCCTTGGAAGAAAAATGCTTACATACTGAAACTTAGGGGTAAGACCTAGTTAGCATCTCCAAAATTGTAAGGGAATGATAGACAATTTCACCTATAACTGGTTGGATTTTTTATTAGCAAGCACTTGTTTTGCTTTTAGCCAGAGCTTAGAATACATTCACGAAGATAATAATCTTTAGGATGCTCTGGAAAATCCTCCAACATGGTTTTAATTTCTTTTTTCCTTTCCCTCACAGTCTCTTGCAGCAGATCAACTACTAAAACTCATGAGCACAGTGGACCCAAAGTAAGCTTCAATATTTACAAATACTTGTATGGCAATGCACTTGATCTTGGGAATGAAACCTTTTGTGACTTAGTATAAGTCTTTTGGCCTGCGTGGTCTAGTTAAAATTGCAGAAAAACAGTGCTGCTGGGTTGCTGAACTAAGTTTTTTTTTTTTTTTTTTTTTACATCAGTATGGCTGTTTTAAAAAAAAACATAAAAACGTTTTGTGATCTAACTTCATTTTTAATAGTATTACAGGCAAGCCAGAACAATGAATTTTAAGTTGACTTTTTTATAATTAAGAAATGCTCAACGGAATGAAAAAASTTCCCAAAAATAATGTATTGGAGTAGCATCAGTCAGGGCTGTATTAGGTATAGCTGGTCTGATTGAAAGCCAGTTTGTAGGACATAGAACTTCTGTACTTGAAAATTCATCCTTGTTTACAGGCTTCTCAGTAGGGCTTATAAAAATGGAAACTAACCTTCTACATGGTAATATTGTTTCCTAGGGTGTTGCTTTTTTCAGTGATGAGAGTTAAAATTGTGTTTTACAAAAAATGTATTGGAAAGTGTCATTAGAAATGTATCTGGGCAAGGTGATCTAAAGGCAATCTTGCTATTTACATTTTACTGCATTTCTAATATGTTAGTATCTTGTTCTGCTGATTCCAACACGGATATTGCATCATAGACTTATAACTCTTACCTAAGTGGTGCCAAAATGCAGATAGAGGCACTGACTCAGATGAGCTGTTTTGGGGGGACTGCACATTGACAGTGTAGGCTTGTATTCCTTGAATTAAGCAATGCTGAATTTCTAAAATACTCCTCCTGTTCACCAGGTTGAACCATGTGGCTGCGGGCCTTGTTTCACCGAGCCTGAAATCAGATACCTCCAGTAAAGAGATAGAAGAAGCTATGAAAAGAGTACGAGAAGCACAGTCATTAATTTCTGCTGCTATAGAGCCAGGTAATTGGAACTCACAGAATACCTCATTCCAGTCAAGGTGCTGTGTGGATACAGTATTCCACTGAAAGTTAGCTGTCTGCAAAGTGTTGGTTTTATGCTTTCCCATTCTGTAATTGCTTAATTTAATTGCTTAATTTAGACTTGATGAGCAGACARTTGTCCTGTATTGTGAATGTATATGTGTCCTGCAGAATGAAATAGGGAGTGAATCATCTGGGTCTTTCTGTTGTTCCTCCACCCTATCTCAGTGCAAGCACCCCAAATAGACTCAATTGAGGAGGGTGCAATGCTTGAGCCTCCCCGCGTTGGAAACAGCAAGTGACCTCATCACTTGGCACCCAGTAGCATTTGTTCCTGATAGGGATTTCCCTTCTTTTACTTCTTAGGGTGTGCAAGTTGGTAAGCAATTTCTGTAATTTCATAGACTTCTACTGCAGAGTGAGATGCAGCACCTCATCAAAAGTGTCAGATGAACTAAATCCAAGTACACATGTACCCAGAACATGGAAAATGTASTTTTCCTGCTTTTTGATCATTTGAGGAAAGAATAGATCTTCTCTTATTAACTCTGACTCAGAGGAAAAACTCTGTAGTTTTACTTCTTTTGTGTAATATGTATACAGCTTCTACATATGTCACATATGTCTCTTGTCATCTGATCACTGTGTGCCTCATCGTTTRAGGAAAAAAGGCTTAATTTCTAATGTCTAAATACCCCCTAGTTTTTTTAATCTTCTTTGTCTATAGCGTGAAACCCAAGTTATTTTTCTGTGTAGAATGTTCCTAAAACAACATTTGTTTTTCTACTGTGCTWTTCTTTCTTTTAAACTCTAGACAAGAAAGATGAGAAACGAAGGCATTCAAGGTCAAGATCACRCTCTAGGAGGAGGAGGACACCTTCTTCGTCTAGGCACAGGTAGCTGCTTGTTTGGCTTTAAAAGCATTTGCCTAGAACAGTTCCTGCAGAATTCGCTCTTGGAGGTTATATTGCCCTCATGCAGACTGACGTGAAACACAGATCTTTTGGAGAAAGCTACGGCTCTGATTTTTGGTAACTAGTGTGAGATGAAGGCCTAGGCCTGTGTTTTTTTAATAAAACAATTTGGGTGGTCTCACAAGATTTAACTATGATAGCAAGAACTCAGGAATTGTGTGAACGGGACACCCACCAAGATGGCTTCCTTACCGGCAGTGTTTCTTCTCTGATTTTAAACAATATAACAAAGAGACAGCCCTAACAGAAGCCCTAAATCCTGTTAATGTCCAAGCTATCTTAGTCTGTCCATTTTACAATTGTTTCTTAAACCTTTTTTTTTCCTTTTTTTCAGATAGTAATTTAAATTTTTTTCTAAAAACAAAACCAAAACAAAATTAATATGAGCTGCTGTTTTTTTTTCCCTGGTGTTTGCAGCAAATTCTGCCATGTACAAGTGTTTTGGAAAGTGTTTTCCAGGCATTTCCAGATTTTGTTTCAGTTAGACACCAGGTCTGTTCAGGTATCCTGGCTAAAGATCTCAGGAGTGGCCTAGCCAAACAGCTCCAGTTAAGACAGTGCATCCCAATGGTCTGTGCATGGCACAGATGCTTCAGATTTTTGCCTTACAACTGTGTTATTGGTAGACGGTCAAGAAGCAGATCAAGGAGACGGTCCCATTCAAAGTCAAGAAGCAGAAGGCGATCTAAAAGTCCAAGGCGAAGAAGATCTCACTCTAGAGAGAGAAGCAGAAGATCTAGGAGCACATCCAAAAACAGGTAATTGCTTCTGTAAATTTATAACGTTTATTAGAAATTMAGTTTTAGATTTTGGTATTTTATTTTAAAAAATCTAGGTGAAAATGAACTAGTGATTCTTAAAATCTCTTGTAACATCTTTATAGCAAGACTTAGAATATTTAACCTTTTAAATGTGCACTTTTAGTCAACTAATCACATGTAACTTGATTTTCTTGTGTGTTGATAGATTCAGTACTTAGATAACTGTTGCCTTTTAGATCAATACCAAGTTCCAAGTTCTAGGAAAAAAAAATATATAGGCTATCCAACGCAATTGTCTTTATTCTTATCTAGTAAGAGTAGTAGTATTATCTGAACTGTGTGAGAATGAATTGAATTTAAAATTTGTATTTCACTAAAAGAGATAAGAAGAAGGAAGAGAAAGAAAAGAAACGCTCTAAAACTCCTCCCAAAAGCTACAGCACAACTAGACGATCTAGAAGCACAAGCAGGTACAGTAACTGAAAAATAATTTTCTCCGTCTGCATTTCCAGCATGTTTAAGCCACTTTAAAGAGATGCTTTAATGTAAARACTGTTGCTGTATTTAATAGGATAATAATCATGTTGTGGTTATGTTGGGTTGTGCACATGTCACTTATGATGCACGTGTCTATAAGATGCTTCTTATGTTTCCTTTGTACTTTAATTTTCTGGAGGTATTATTTATCAAAAAGCGCATGATGCTTAGAGGTCTAATTTATAGGATAAGCCAAACACATGCATAAGATGTAAGTTTCTTTTTAGAATTGCTTCCAGAATTGTTTTGTGATAGTAACAGGTACAAACTGTCTTTTTTTGTGTTGCGGGTGAAGTAAGAGTGTCTCTAGTAAGGTCAAGCTGGCAAGTCCCTGGTGAAGGGTGAATAGGAAAGACCTTGCTCTGCTGCCTGGCAGCTGCCTTGGCTTTGCAGTACTGCTAATAGTAAAGGCTGGTTTTCAGTTACATGTATATTTGCTAGCCRTTGAGCTGTGCTAGTTTTGGAGCAGCATTTGGAGCCCAACAAGCTTTGGTCTCTCTTTCCTGCAGAGAAAGACGACGCAGAAGAAGCAGGAGTGGAACACGGTCACCCAAAAAACCCAGGTCTCCTAAAAGAAAACTCTCCCGGTCCCCATCTCCAAGAAGGTCAGGGTGCTAATGAGCCTTTTTCCTAACAACAAGAAAAGGAAAAGCGGGAGGGGGGGCATCTGGCGGAAAATTTCTTTACGTACATGAAGTAGAGCAAAGATTGTTGTGGAGTCACTCTGAAGGTTGGTGGGTTAGTCTTGTCCCGAGTACCTCGCCCAAACGTTGATGTGTTGAAAGAAAGAATGGATCTCTCCTGCCTGCCCCCCTGCTTGAAGCTAATGAAAATCAGATTAAAAAACTTTAATGCCCAGACCTCTGAATGTGATGTGTTCCGGGGACACAGTGAGAGATTCCCAGTTTGCAACCTGCTGGCTCCGTGGAATTATCCATCAACTGACTGCTTAATAAGTTGGTTAAATAATGTCTCATCCAAAATGTGCCATTTGGGATGGTTCTTAGTAAAAGAGTGCAGTTTTGCTATTCTTAACTGCAGCATCTCTTCAGCTTAACTTGGAGGTGATGGTGAATCAGTCAGGAGCTAAGAAGCAGGGCTGGTTGGCCATTCTTAGGCACATCTTATTTGCACATGGTTGTTTCTCCCTGTAGACTTTTAAGGAACTTTGGGCGAGTTTGGACATGTTTTTTGTTCTAGTCATATAATGGTGTAATTGTCTTTCATTCTTGAACATATTGTATCCTTGCAGACATAAAAAAGAGAAGAAGAAGGATAAGGACAAAGAGAGAAGTAGAGATGAAAGGGAACGGTCAACAAGCAAGAAAAAAAAGAGCAAAGACAAAGAGAAGGATCGAGAAAGAAAATCTGAGAGTGATAAAGATGTGAAAGTATGTTTAAAAATCTGTTTAATTTAGTGCTTTTAATAAAGCGTTAAYCTTAAATCCGCAAGGGCTTTGAAAGCAAGTTTTACTCTCTTTTATCTCGGCAAAGCAGGTCACAAGGGACTACGATGAAGAAGAGCAAGGATACGACAGCGAGAAAGAGAAAAAGGAAGAAAAGAAAACGGCAGATTCTTCCTCCCCTAAAGCAAAGGAGTCTGCAGTTGATAAAGGCAGTGGAGATTCAGCAAGGGAGTCCAAAGTAAATGGGGATGATCATCACGAAGAGGACATGGATATGAGTGACTAAATTTGGCCTTTGCAGTGAACACGGCTGCAGATGTGCATCAGTGTCATTCCTGTGTGATTCTTTTATGCTGTACTTGTTAATCCTAAATCTCGATGTATACAGCTCGAAGCTATAAATGGTTTGTAAAGCTCCGGATACTAACATCAAAAGCTTTATAGAAGGGTAACCATCCTTGTTACAGCCGAAAGGGATTGCATAGCCAAGCCATTTTTACTCACTTGGTGATGCTTCAAGCAAAAGTAAAAAGCTGCATGCATCTACAGCAGGCATGGACTGTTTGTTGTATGATCTCCTTTAGTAAATCAGCTCACTTACGATAGTGTTTCTAGAATTTGATTCATTGCAGTAATAGAGCAGTATAGGGAATGCACTGACTGCATGTTGATTGTGGCAGAAACATCCTAAATGTTCTAAAATCCTACAACGTACGACAGATCTACTTCCAGGTCTTAAGTGTGACTACGCAAAAATTGACAGTACATTGGAAAATAAGCGTTCTGATATAGGGGGGTGTTTGTTTGTTTTAAGCCATGTGGCTGCTTTTTTCTTTTTTTTTTTTTGTGGGTTTTGTTTAGCTTTGACAAATTAAAATGCACTAACCTTTCTGAGGGCTTCTTTACGCTGTCAGTTCAAATCCATCTCAGGCAACAAGGAGCAGCAAGTCAGGATCGTGTAATGTTTCTTTTGGGGGGGCAGGGGGAGGCCTTGGAAATATCTGCTTGACCAGTGCCCAGTGATTAAAGGTTGATTTGTGCAGTTTTCATAATCCAGATTGTTTTATTTGTTAATTCAGACATTGCAAAAGGGTAGTGCATTTTAAAATTGACCTTTGTATGCTTTTAAAAGCAAGTCTACTTGATAATGTACTTTTTACTTGATCTCAAGTTGTATAAACTAATAAATTTGTGTTTACTGTCACTGCAGTAGTAATCTTATGCACACAGTGATTCCATGTTATATGCAGCGTAGGTAGGCAAGCTGTTCCTTAGTTCCCAAAGTTACACAGCTTTTACTTTTGTGCAGGTAAAGAGACAAAAGTAGGCTCCAGTCTGTGCCATGTTGATGTACAGTTTCTGAAATTGTTTTACAAAACTTTGATAATAAAACCCTTAAACTTATACTCATGTTCCTATAAAACTGTACTGGTATTTATTTACATGATTGAATGTATAAAACTTTACCTCATTCATTTAGAAATTTTACCTCACTCATTATATTTTTCCTCATCTACCTATTTCAGCAACCCTTAATTGCATCTCTTTGGAAACTGCCAGTGCAGGGACGGGACTGCTAAGCCGGTCCTTTTAGCTGGGTTAAGTATGTTGTACTAATGAAAGATTTATGTTACTTTATTTGTGAATGAAGGGAACAGGCTTAAATAGGAATATAAAGGTATTATGAATCAAGTACTTTTTTAAAGAGATATGTATTTGTAAAAAAAAATGTATTTTCATTGAAATATATTTCTTTAACCTTTTATCTTTAGAATGATAATAGAAGACTACTAGAAACAGGAGGCAGCAAGTGCTTTGTGCATGTAAAATAGGTYGTTAAGGACAGGCACCACAACGGTATTGGTTTGCATTAGTTGAGATGAARCTCTAACTGGTGGCTGTAGCTGAATCGGGTAAGTCAAATCACCTTCTTAAAACTGTCCTTTTGACACAGACGAAGTGGAACTTGCCACTCACTTATGCAGTGTCATTTTTAGAATTTGTAGAGCTGAACTTTTTACCAACTGTTCTGAGTATTTTGTCAGTCCCCAAGGTGTATGTGATGCAGCCAGCTCTCCTAGCCTTTTATTTCTAATAGAGATAGGTCTCATAAGACTGAGAGACACAGACAAGGTGCATGATGTCTTCATAGATGTGCCTTTGTTGTCATCAAGCTGTTTATATGTGAAGTTATAARAACCTCCAACAATTTATAGTAATAAAGTAAAGCTCCTTGATCTTTAGCTCTTGTTGTTGTGGAAGTCATTAAAACACTGTAATGAAGGACCAAGTCAGTGTCTCACCTCTCTATTGAGCTGCAGAGGGTAAATTCCACCTGCCTCAGATAATTGCAACCTTAATTAAGCTATGCAGGTTGTAGCTTACTGTGGGAACCAGCAAGACTTGTAGTTGGTGTTCGTGATGGAGCGCGTTGCTGACCGAGATCAGGAGCGTGCTGCGGGTAGGCACCAAGCCCCCCTGTCCCTCAGCTGCTGCGTTGCCACGTTTGAGGCGGCAGCGCAGGGTGAGCGACGGGCCTGGATGAAGCGGCAGGCGGTGAAACTCGAGCTCCCAGAGAGAGGGCGCAGGAGGGAGCTGCCCACCGCTGACAGCAGCACCGGCCCTGAAGGGGAAGCTGGTGCGCGCTGCCTCTGCCTTCCTCCTCGCAGTGCCAGAGCCGCAGCAGCCCTTGGCAGGGAGCGTGGGCTGAGGCTCAGCCGCTAACGGGGAGCTGCAGGGAGGGGGCCGCACTTGTTCCTACCCCTGTCACTATGGGGCGAGGGTGGCAGCTCCCTGTGGCCGCAGCACGGACCTGGCCCCGGCCCTCAGGCTTCCTTCACTGGCTGCGGCTCCCCCAGCGCCAAGGCCTGCGAGGGGCCGGACACCCCCCCGCCTCACCACCCAGCCCAAATCACTCTGAGAAGGAAAAATAAACCTTTTCAGAGCTCGCCGGGTTCTGCCKAAACTGTTGCTCTTGTAACAGTATCTCTTAGGAGAAGTAAGAGTAGTTGGCTTATTTAAAGGAATGCACTTCTGCAGGGGAATTAAGTGGGGAGATTAACATAAGYGTTTTCAATTATTTATAAGATAGCAAAGAAAATTTAACTCAGTAAGAAGGGCAGAAGGAGATCTTCTGTCTCTAAGCTTGGCTAATTTTGGCACGCATAACACCAGGTATATTCTGGAACTTAGTGTTCAGTTTTTCTCCAACATAGCCTTGCCTTTCCCTACTAGATGAACCAAAACAATTTGTCAGACTTTGCCACCTAACAAGGAGCAGGGCTATCCTGAGAATTCTGACCCAGAAAATGCCCTTGCTGAATAGCGTGAATTTGCCGTCTAAACTCCAAGTAATTCCTTGAACAGGCCCAGCCACCATGTGCTTATTCTGCAGAGTTCAGCTGAACCTGTCAGGGTTGAGCAGTTCCAGAATCAAACAGCACATTTTGGTCTTTATTCTAACAAATGACGTAACCTAAAAAAATACTAGTAGTGAAGGTAAGTTAAAAACATGGACCACACAAATAGTAAAATGCAAGAAAGTGACATTGTTTCCATGATAATTACAAACTGTAAGGAAAATAAAGGTGAAACTGCAGCATTACAGGAAATTTGTTAATACAGATTAAATAATGCAGTTATCCTTGCATGAATTAAAAATCAAGAACAAGTACATTTAAAAAATGACAATTGCTTTGAATGTCAACTCAACATGGTGGGTTTCCAGCACAAATATATCCAGAATTCTTTGTAACAAATCATTTCAATACATAAATCGATAATTGCAGTAAAGTGAGTACAGTGACTGGAACAGCAGCTCCTTAAAAGGAAAAAGAAAATGCATTCCCTTTGCCACAAATTAAAGCAATATTTTGGAAGACCAGTAAAACAGTTTGGTTAAGAAACAATCCTAGGAATTCATTTGCAACAATTTCATATTCAGCTTACCAAAGCTAATGGCTGCCTTTTAGTACTTGCTCATTAGGTCACAGCCAYCAGAAAAAAAAGGAAAGGAAACCAAATAAAATGCACAAAGCAGCAGCCCCGAGTTCTGCAGTTCTGCACGGGGCTGCCTCTCGCGCAGCGCTCCCGCCCCCGGGAGCTTCTCCCCCTGCTTCCTGCTCCTGCTCTCGCCTTCCCCGGTGCCCCTGGCCTGCGGCAGCGCCAGGCGCCGACCCGCAGCCGTGCGGCCACGGAGCGCGGCAGAGCGCGCGGGGCTGGCGCGCGGAGGAGGCCGCCTCGGAGCGGGCGCTGCGGATACGCACCCACATGTGGGACACCGAATCCCTTCTCAACGCTAACACGAGGTAAGGGAGAAAACAAAACTCAATCCTGCTAGAAAATAGAAGTTTCAAATGATAACAGGAGACTGGAAGTGGTAACGCACACCGGAGCCCCCAGCACAGCTGTGGACCCRGGCTGCGCCTCTACTAAAGCACTTCACCCCTTTACAGCGCAGGCAAAGCTTCTGCGTGGATCCATCCGTACCGACAAACACGCACTTTGCATCAGCACAACGGAAAGAAACCCTTGCAAGCAGAACAACGACACTCGATAACACGCAGACACGGCCAGGCCCACGGGGCGCCCGGCGGCGTCGCGGCGCCGCTCCGCGTGGGCCCAGCCCCCGGCGCCGCCCGCAGCCCCGGTGCTCGTCCGGATCCCGGCTGTCCGCGTGCTGAACGGCGCTCGGCCACTCACCGCCACGGACGTCTCGGGCACCACACACAGCACCGGCAGGAAACACACCAAGCACGGGGAACCAGGCAGCTAGAAAACAGTCATTGAACTGGAAAAATACACTCCGATCGGAGTCCGATCCTTCAGCTTCACATTAAGGAAATGAGTAGCAGGGTATGTTCACCATCGATTATGTTAAAGGACTACAGCCAACCAAATCTGCGTCCACTGGCGCTGACACTGCAGGTTAGAACAAGCCTCAATATAGCAACCCACTATAAAAAAGTTTCTGCAAATCTTAAAATGTATCAAAGTTAGTAATTATGTATTTGTGAAGGTTAAAAAACCATAAAGTTTTCAGCCAGAGTCCATGACAATCAGTGAAAACATTTCGAGGAGCCGCAGCGGGCTCGAGTCAGACACCCCTGTTGCCACCAGACATAAATGCAGCCTCCTAGAAGCAGATGGAGGGAATGCAGACCCCGGGCGGCAGGGCAGGCTAAACTAGATGATTGTTTTGATTTGTTTTAAGTCTAGAACCCAGTCCGTTGCACTTGCTATACTGCCTACAATACATAGCTGTAGCTACGTACGTGCCTTGCTCTGCCCGCAAGCACTGCGACGATACTCTGAAAAAAGCAGAAACACAAGATAACGTGAAACACGCAGCTCTTGCCCTGCAATACTGGCAGAAAAGCTCTCCTGTTCATCCTACAGAGGATCGGCCGGCTGTGTTTGCTGCAAGTTCCAAGCAGCTGGGCGCTCCCCTATGGCACCGGCGCTTGCTGGGGCACYCGGCGCGTCGGCTTCGCGCCCATCGCGTCGCCTGTCCCGTCGCCGAGCTCCTCGTTCTGCTCCATGCCAGAGCTGCAGCACGAGGGGCAAAGGGCTCTGCAGCGGCCCAGCACCTCGCGCCGGGGCCACGCAGGCTCCACATACATTCAATGCGGCTGCTGAGGACACTACCAGGGGGTCAATTTATACCATAGATGCAGAACACTTTAGGAATTCATCATTACTTGTTAAAACAAGYCCTATCATTCCTACCAAATGTTCAACATCTGCTCCTCACACACTACTTCACAAGTTATTACAAGAAGTTTACATTTCCCTTTATTTCTTCCTCTACTGTTTTACTTCCAATTTGATTTAGAATTAAATAACTACAGTGTATCATTCACTGTCCACCAAGTAAACACTGCTCACCTGCAGGCTTAAGGTAATGCTGAAATAGGATCAACCTCAACTTTCTATTTTCGGTTTATCCATTTTTGCTGCTAGTGATTCAACAGTACTTCCCTAGAGCAGCCTCTCTGGGTCTTATATAGAYGGGATTCCAGAAATTGTGAATGACTGTCCACTTGAAGTATTTCCACCTTTGAYTGATGTGCCTGACAATCACCTTTTATTGCCTTGTGATAAGCTATCTCCATTTATCACCTGCATGGTTAGTCAGGTCGGTTACCTTTACTAAGCATTGATGGTACTCTTTATTATAAAGTTTCAAACATAACTCTATTGATTTCCAGAAAAAGTTTTAACTACAGTGCACAAAGAATATAATTTTGAAAATATTTACATTTTTTTACAGTTACACCACAGCACGTTATTCTAAATTTCTTAATACAAACAAATAGCACCATTAGCCTGTTGCACAAATTCTTTCTAACAAACCAGAAAGCTGGATTATTGTCATACTAGGAGACTGGAACCACTTGGAATGAGAATAAGCTCAATAAACCAGAGTAATGTAACTCCCTACCTATCAAAAATATTAAAAAGAAGAAAATTAATCTGGAAACATACTAAKCATTTGTAGATAAAATATTCCAGTGTGAGCTCTATTCAATGTGCACTACAATTAAACTAACTTCAAGAGAAACATTTTTTTGTGTAAGACGACAACACTTGAGCTTATTGTTCTAGGAACTCTTCATACACATCCCATGTATTCCAGTGGCTGCTGGACATCAGAACAAGGTAACTTAGTTGATGTTTACCCATCAACTGGAGCAAGTCTCCTACGTGAGTATGAAAAAAAAAARAAAAAAAAAGAAAAAAAAAGTGGCGATTTCTATCTAACAAGCTCCAAGCGTGCTAATCAACACCGCATCACGGACACAGCAAGGACTTCTTAAGCCAGTATGATAAAAAGAAGTTACCTGCAGAGCCAATGAAAGAAAGATTAACCAAGAGCTCAGGGAAGAAATCACCACTTCAGCGACATGGATAGCACCACAACGGACTGCACTAAGGTGCTACGGTGGTTTCTTATTCCCTGCAGAGTGAATGCTATTTCTGATGTGGACTGCAATATGAAAATGCAATTGTTTAATGGTGGCCATTTGGTTCATTCACCTACAGAAAATGCATTCCTTCTAATATATGTTCAACTAACATTCAAATTACTGAACTATACATAATGATACATAGTTTACAATTCATGAAAACAAAGCACGAAAGAATATAACATGGTCATCTTAAATACAGTGGCATGTTTTAAAGGATTARTATCCAGCTAAGACATTTCAATTTTATGCTAATGGTCCAAGAGTGCTTTCTGTATCACCAAGAAGAAATGTAAAAAATTTAAAAATGAATGATAGTCCTCACAGCTGTTAACTGCTTTTGGGGTCACTGAAGTGTCAAACTACCAGGCCTGCAATTCTGGATGTATAAAAGTGTGAATGACACATCAGGAGACGTGCTGTAAATCAGGGACTAGATTAGGATGCCCATTATAGTGAATACCAGTACATCAGYCATTTGATGCATGTTCCCTTTTCTTCCGGATTATTTAAGTTTATCCCTTCCTGTATGACCCACTTCCATGCCTATAATATCTGTGGGCTATTTGCATCCATTTACTGTGATACGCTGGTATTGTTATTCACCATTAACCTTCCAGTTTAATTATAGATCAGGAAAATGGCTGGGGTCCTCCTTGTAGTCATCAGGAATAGTGAAGATAGATTCATCAAATTCATCGTAACGAAACTCCTGAAAAGTCACAGTGGCTGTGATGGTGGGGAATACAGGGATATCTAGGTATGAAGTAAAACGATACAAAGAAGAGTAAAGAAATACAAGTTTAGCAATAATCAGCAGTAGTTACTTAATGCCATGGCTTCAGATGTGCTTTGATATTTTAGATAATCACACACATAAACTCAAAGCCCAAAGARAAAGAGGATGTACTTTAAAGATATTGAAGAACATGCTCAAGCAGTAGCCAACTGAACACATCATTCAAAAACACAGATATAATTAGTGTCTTTCCTTTCTTTATGCAGATTAATAACATAGAAACAAAAGACAATGCAGAAGTTTGGCTTGGATGAACAACTTCAAGGTGCTCTCAATATGCAGAATAATCTGTTCAAACAGAGGAACTGCCCTGAAGATACCATAAGATAAAGTAATCTTGTCCTATTTAGATTTCAGCTGAGCAAACTTACATGCAGAGTTCAGTTCTCTGTCATGTTTGCTTTAAAATATATATTTTCATTTTAAATTCAGGTTGAGGTTTAAGAATCATCCTCATTAGAAATGGCTTATCTATGAASTAATTTAACATGCTAGGCACATTTCAAACCTCAAATGCATAGGCAGCCGTGCCAATATAATAGGAGGTAGAATTTAGTCTGTTCAGAGTGTTCAAGCTTAAACAGAACAAAAATGAAAAATTATCCTGCTGCTATGAAAGAAAAACCTGCAACATTTAGAAAAGTGCTTATTGCACTTGGTTATATTATATTATATTTATCTATATCCAGGAATAAAATATTTTATACATTTCTGTTTGTTAGCAAGAGTTTAGTTTCCCATTTGTTTATAAGGAATAACGTATCACAACTTATACAAAAAAACCTACAAATTCATTTGCTGAAGACCAAGATCAAYCTTTAATGTAGGTATACTTCAGCGTGCCTATGTTATTCTTAAGACCTCTCTTTGTGTCTGGGACTATATTCTCTTTTCAGAAAGATTTCCCCTTCCAAACTTAAGATTATTTCCCGTAATGTAGCTACTTTCTCCAAAATCTACAGCAACACACTCATGTTAAGGAGAGACAGTTCTTTTCTAAAACTTAAAAATAGAATTTTTAAGCATATTATAAGCACAAACATTCTGGAAATATAAAACCCTAGAAGTTATAGGAGTCACCTTACCTAATTTTACAGGAAAGCCTGGTGGAAGCTTCATTTGAACAAATTCTCTAAGTTTGTTAAAGTGCTTGAAGGGTGCAATTACTTCTAAAACATTCAATAATCTGAAAAAGAGAATGGATTTCATTATAAATTACTGCTTCACAAGTTTCCTTTTCCCACCAGAGAAGATGAAAATGATCTAAGGAGCAAAGCAATAAAAAAAKAAAAAATATATATTAAAATGGCGTAGTTTTAGAGATTTAACATCAGCATTGTCACATTTGTTCCTAGTGATCTATAATGCTTTACCATATATATATATATATATATATATATATACACACACACACACAAATGACACGAAGGCATTTGTTTCTTGTCCTCCTGTTGTGCCCAGTGAGCCGAGACACATCGTGCTTCACACTCACTTCTCTGAACCTCCTTCCCCATAGAAAGGACCCAACATGTGGTTTTGTCCACAATTAGAGGATTCAATTGTGTGCTAGTACTAGTTGTGGGCAAAGATCTTTTAGTATCCTGTAGAAGACCAAGCACATCAGCATAACGAGAACCTAATGATAAACCTGGTCAAATCTCTCATCTTGGTCTTAAGACTTGGGTCTTACAGTAACAGGCACATCAGCTCTGAGGTCTCCAATTTTAAGTTTCTTGCCTTAAAACGCAGCTTTATTCATGTTATGGAACTGCAGACGTTCCAAAATCTGAAGACTTTTGCACTTCACAAACATGTTAATATATTTCCTAGGTACAAACAGCATTTTCAGACAATAATTTTTAACTTACGACTCAATTCCCAAGGGAAATTCCTGGCTCATAGCTATCGTGGCTTTAAAGGTTTTCTTGCTTTCTTTGCAGACCAGCTCTCTACCCAGATGAGGAGCTCTTCAAAGGGGAGTAGAAGAAAAAAAATAGTAAAGTCAGTAAAGACTACAGCTAAGGAAATAATTTTAAGTAAAAGCTATGCACAGTGACACAGGAAATAGTAGCCACTGCAATTTAGATTATTATGAATTCTGGTAAACCTGAAGATAAAAATAATTAAGGAAAMGACAGTAATATTTATAATAAGCCCACATGAATGCCATATTAATAAACAGTGTGAAGAGAGATGACAATTACCTAGAAATATATTTTGCGTGGTATTAGAGTGAATTAACAAAACACTTCTAGGTGATAGTGATGAGATTGAAATATATGTTAATGATTAGATTAMAAATATAGATGAGATTGAAATATATGTTAATAATCTAAACCTGCCCTCAGAATGAGATGAATGAATAAACCCCAAAATACTTACTTTCCATTTTCAGCAGATATATACTCTTCCCATGTAATTGTATTGGGTGATGGTGGAGTAAGTGACTGTCGTCTCACAGGCTGTTAAGGAAAGAAAAAAAAACCCAACTATTTCTCTCTCTCTCTCTCTTTTTTTTTTTTTTTTTTTTGTCTTCTTCCAAGCTTAACTATGTAAAAAGATAATATTGTGGTTTAATTCTATGAAGAGCAGCAATGTATTCTGTCTAACGAGCAGCTGGAATTTCACTAGCTGCTGCTTCTCCTCTTCTTTCCTGCCCACCATTTAGACATTAGGCCTCAAACAAAATTTTAAACAGAATTTGGCTGTTTTCATGCACCACTTAATTGAACTTAATCCAACTACATGTAGCAAAGCACAAACTAATATAGAAATAAGCTAATCATTTTTAAAAGGCTGTATACATGTTCCTAGATGATATTGGGCTCATTCTGAGTGGTTTCCAAATCCATGGTGAAAACAACATGCTTCTAAGGAACAGTAAATAAAAATGATTCTGAAGGGTATTCTAAAGCATAAGCAGTAAGTTTAAGAGAATTTTAATTAATTTGCCATAGCTAAAAACATCTTTCACGAAGAGCAGTAGTTAAGATTGAAATATTCAAAATAATCCAAGAAATCCCTCAATGTGTGCAACAATCATGCTAATACACTAATGGATCACATGGACTACATTCATAAGTTACTTTCATAGAAAATATTCTAACCATCTATTATTCTTAAGACAACAGAACAAAAATATGACCTATTAATTCTGCTACATGACTAGTGTGAAAGTTCACTCTGCCGTACACAAACCAGCATGCTGTAAAGAATGATSTAAATATACCTCAAAATTTTGTTCCATTAAATTGCCACCTTTACTCAGACTCTCCATGATAGCTTTATTTCGAAGAATATCCTCCTCACTGAGATGTTCCCTTCTTTTCCTTGATTCTAATACAAGTCCATTAACCAGGTAGAAATCTGCTAAGAAGTTTCCTACTCTTTCCTAAAAGAAAGAAACTTGTCATTAATGAGTTAAAAAAAAAAAAACACAAAACAAAATAAGGCCTTTTTTAATTCACTTTAAAAAAATATACATATATAACTATACTTCAGTGCAATATTAGTATACACTCCCAGTATTAAAATACAGCACAAACAAAAAATTTCATCAGAAATAGCTGTTTCATGTGGATGGAAAGTGTAAGTCAGAAGAAACTGTTCGAGAAATTATTTGAGAGAGGCAAGAGAAATGTGCTCTTTAACAGCAAGCTGTGTTAAATGATAATTTACACATGCAGTATTTTACATATGTAGAATGTGAATTTCTTATTTCTTAGTAGGAAAACATTCTAAATCATTATCTTGGCAAAAAAAAAGAAAAAAAAAGCACTACATGTTGGATCTAGATGAAAGCTGAACATGTCCGGAGCTAATTCCAAGATAGCATTTTCCATCTAAAGGACATACGTAGCTATTTCTCTGGTTTTGTTTTCCACAGCTGAGAATATACATCTTAGAAAGAAAACACCGGCCACTCAGCTCCAAAGGATACCATTCCCAGAACGCCTTTCTGTGCTTTTCTCCTTCATTTCACTGATGTAGGAGTTTACAGACTCCTCACTGTAAATCTTGGGGGCGYGTATATGTGTGTGTGTGTACGTACGCACATGTGTGCATACATATATATATATATATATATTTACCCATATATATATATACACACATATATCTACACAGTGCTTACGTGCACATAGGTTATATTAGTTTATTTTTGCCAGCACCTCTTCTTTGGGAGTGCCTTAAGAAGGCACTCCAGTATCCCATACATTCTGTGTGATGCTCATAAGGTGGGCAGGCAGTGATTTCCCCACCCCTTCTGGGGAAGGGAAGCCTCACTGTTTTCTCCCTGTTTGTACCAACTACATTACCCAATTACGCTATATTTTGTTGCCTGAAGTACCCTGTGTCACCACATGGAATTTCATAGCTTACTGTTTTGTCTTCTCGAAAAAGCCATCCCGTCTGGGCACGTGTGAAGGTAATTGATTTGGTTGATAATGTTGCTGAGTAGATATCACTGCTCATTAAAATGTCAACCTCCTCCTCMGTTTCCATTTCCGATTCCTAGACGAAAAAAAAAACAAGTACACGATAGAACTTAGCATTCATTCTTTTGAAATAAACCTTTTCCTTCTAAAGTGTTACCAGAATTTGTATTTCCTGAATTTTTAATTAGAATTATAAAATTTCCAACCAAATCATTACTAAGTAGTTCTATCTTAAATATTACTGTGAATCCATGTTATATATTACTGTAAGTAAAACACCTAAACACCTAAAATACCTAATGATTTATCCAATTCAGCAACCACATTTCTTGAAAAGCCAAGATTCATATAGTTGAATGATTGACAGAGAGAGTTATAATTACAAGAACTTGTCTAAACACAAGGTGTCCAATGATTCCTGCCCCTTGTGTTGTTAAAATCTACACTGGCAACAGAGTGAGGAAATGGGTTCAAAACAGYGGATGCCAGGTTCGAAAAACGACCTGACAACTTCGGAATTAAATCCACTGGAAAGATTAAAAGTAGTATGCTTCATAACTTCAAACATATTTATTTACTTAAAGTGATAGGATTATTTTCTGATAGCTCTAATTAAGAAAAAGCTAAAAATGTAGATATCTGTATTCAAAAAGCAGTACTTTTAAGTTCTSTTTTGCATTTCTTTGAAGTTAGATTTTTCTGAAGCACATTTTAATTATTTCATCAGGTTTCTAATTGGCAGAAAAATCTGGAGTTGTTTCACATCCCATGTCCATGCAGTTCCTTACCTCATGATGTATTCGCTGGTAAACTTTTTGTTCATTGTCTAAAACTACAAAAGATTCAGAGGGTGCTGCATCACCATTAAAAATGAAGCTTAAATCCCCCCGTTGGCACTTCATGTCAGTAAAGTCTATGAGAGTTGTGTCCAGCCTGTGAAAAAAAGACCAATATTTTAAAAGCAATTACCCCTAAATACTTCAATACACCAATGAGTTCCAATTGCATATAGAAGCTTTTTTTTTTTTTTTTTTCCATAATCAAGCATATTAAGGTCTAAGTTTTCATAGATTATTTCATAAAGGAATTCTAGATGCAGAAATTTTTAAAAATGGTATTAACTATCATTAGATATCATATTACGTCTCTATCAGTATAAATTAATTTCAAGTTGTTTTTATGCAGTACTATACATAGCAAAATTTAAGTCTTTTCCTTCATTATATATATATATTTTATATATATATATATATAAAAACAGAACAAAAAAACAGAAAGTTCTTTGAACAAAGTTTTTACGTTTCCTTTATTTCAAGACTTCTACAGAAACTTTTACTTTATTTCAAAGCTACCAGCATAAGAATGTGCTAGGATTTATACAGCCACTAACAGCCACGTAATTAACTACTCTATGTGATCAACTTCCTGTTCCACAAGAAACTGCCAGTGACATGAGTAACAGCCTTACTCATTTCAGTTCGGTTGTTTCTATTTTTTTTTCCCTACCAGCAAGAATAAACACTTCAACTGACCTTAAAAACTAAAAGAGGAAGCTGAGGATGAAGATCTCCCTAACAATTCCTGGGGGTTATTGCTAGTGYATTTACTTTTTTCAAGAAAGACAGTAAAAAACCTGAACTCAGAAACCACATCAGCTCTAAGCAGCTACTGCTTAGCATTCATCACATATTAGTCTGTAAATACAAGAAAGACTCAGTAGCTATTTCCAGTCAATCCTGTAACTCCCAGCTGTAGGAGCACTTGACCCAAAAATGAGAAGACAGAAGCGGAAAAAGGGAGGGAGGAGGGAAGAGTGAGGGGAGATCTCAGGCTGAGATCTGACCTACAAAGTCAATCCACATTTCTATGTTAAAAGCTTTAATAGCTTTTTCAGAAGTTTCTACTGAATAATGATCTTGAATGTTTTAATTTGGGAATTTAAATAGAAGAGACACTTGAATCAAAAAAAAAAAAATCTGAACTAGTTAAATCATCCAATTATAGAGCTGAGCTCCAAAAAAAATGCTGAAAACACTCTGAGTTTGTGAATATCACAGGTTTTGAGCATATTATGAAGTAAATCTATGCTACTTTTTTTAAATCCCTACAGAGTATGCAGCAGCAATATTTTGCCACAACACACAGAAAACTTGTCTGTTTGACATTCTGTTACAAATATCACCAAATTTGCTTTTATCAGTTAATTGTTATCATGACAGGTAGGTACAGCCATACACAGCATGAATATCTGCTTTGTCTTTTCAAAGGCTCAGGAAAAAGAAGTTAAATTCCGTTTGATAAATACAAGTATTAATCATACTGCTTTGTTGGATGTTTGCATCATTTACTATGGTTTTCTTATCTCAGTTCACATGCTTATTTAGTAACCAACGGCTTCAACAGGCATAGAAGGAAACAAACATCCCAATAAGTAAGTAGGTGTACACCAATTTTAGGAATTCTTAAATATTTCAAAGGTATTCTAAATAACAAAACTAACTCAGCTAATTGCTTAGCTCYGCCACTTAACACTAATATAGATGCAATTAAAGGTACACTAAGCATTAAAAAGAAAAAAAAWCAMTMWWAYAGAAGCTAATACAAAACTTGCTTATATATTGTTAAACAGAAGTTGGTTTCTGCAGAGAGATCTCAATTTTCAACATGGTTCTATTATATGAAAAGAATGACAACTTTTGACTAAGTAACATAAATAAAAAGAAAAAAAAAAAAGATTTAAAAGACTTCCTGCCTCTAAGGACCCATGTACCAACTCAATACTGTTTCACCGACACTTGCAGTCTCCTTGTTATTTCTTTTATAGCACTCAAGTCCAGTGCTCTCATAACACAAAGTTACTAATGAATTTAGATATCACATACCATAAATCAGCACTTACCTGATATTTATACCTTGCTTGTGTATTTTACATGCATCAGAAGGCAGAATTCGGGAGAGTAAAGGCACTAGATATAGGGGGAGAGATAATACAATTGGAACATTAAAATACCAACAGGTTGTTTTGAAATGTATTTCTAATGAAACTACATCAATTTGCATTTTGATGGATTCCAATAGAAATCCGATATACCACTTTCCTATCATAATCTCACTAGTAATGCAGTGAAAGAAGACTTTTTTTTTCCCCCCCCTATTCAGTGACTGCAAAACTGACTTGGGTTTGTACAGACCACTTCCAGCACCAAGATGGAACTTAAATGTCTTTAGCCACAAGTATATCATCTGTAACGTGCTTGAAGTTTTAGTCCCATGATTTGGTATTACACTGACTGAAAGCGTAGCTACAACTACACTGTATCAAGCACTYGCCAAGAGAAAAAAATAAAGAAAAAAACCCAAAGCACTTATGTTTAAAAGCACTATGCTTAAAAACTCATGTTAACATTAAACCATCTGTATAATATTGTATATATACAATTAACCAAAAAAAAACAATAATCAACAAAAGGTACTGTCCTCTCTACTTTTTTTCTTCAAGAAATTAGATTATATATAAAATCTACACCATGTAAAGAGAGGTGTGCTCCACTGTACAGTGAGACTGCTAGAGAAGAGGAACCTTAAAACTTGGGTTGACTTCTGGCATGTTTTCTGCACAGTGTCTGACTGCCATCCCAGTTCTCTGCAAACCAGGCTGTGGCATCATCACTAAGCCAAGTCTTACTCCATGACTATCCCTACTTTCTCTTTTATTTCATTTATTTATTTTTTACATACTGACTGTTCTGTGAGAAATTCCACTCACTGAACACCCTGGGCACAGGAGATCACCCAAGAAAATGAGGTATTTTATATCTGCTCAACATTTGGCTGCAACTCAGCTGCTCATTCCTCCTCTGAATACTGGAAGAGGCATGTAATACACCAAGTAATTACACTATACTAATATAAAATTAATATAGAAAATATCACCAAGTTAATGAGATACACTGACTGTTGTTAATAAATTTCTGCTAATTTGCTTAGATTTCTCTTCTATAAATGGCAGGAAATGGACACTGAAAATGCATTTTGAAAGTGCATTGAGAATGCACTACTTAATGCATTCAAGTAGATCRCTATCACCAGTTATGCTGTCTTATAAAATGCGTATTAGCACAAAGCTCAGGTCTGAAACACATACTAAGAGGTTGCACTTAACCAAATGCCAAGTACTTGGAGCCCAGGTTGAACTTCAAAAAGTTACACAAATGAGAAATCAGCTTAATTACTCAAACCACTGCTCTATAGTGACACCAAATGACCACATAAACTTTTTTTTATTTTTATAATAAACAAATTTTAAAGTAAATARCATCTTGTTCCTATACCCCCACTATGCACTAGGTTACAGAAAAATATTCAAAAATGAGTAAACAAAAATAATTAATAAAAAAAGTTGTCTGTCCTTTCTTTACCACTGATATCTTGAGAACAGGACTGTAAATTTTACACTATGCAAACTAGAAATAAATGAAGCCAGAGAACAAACGTTGAAGACCAACTATATTATCTCTATGAAAGGGAATATGCAGTTTCTTACCCCAACTTTGAAAATCCCAGTGAAGCTCTAGATAGAAGTCACCTAGCTGAGATGAAAACAAGACTGCGTTAGCAAACTTTCTTCTCAAAATGACAACCGCAAACTTGGCTGAAAGGTGGAATTTTTGACAAACTAATTAAAACAGGTACAACAAAGAAAACCTTCTTTTTTGTGGAGTTAGTACACCAGTCCATAGTTAGTTAAACAAAACTGAAAYTAAACATATCTGAGGCTTTAAACTACAGTAGAAATAACAACGAAGAAATTATGTCAGTCACTTGAAACATCCATTTTTAATGATCTTTTGCTTGAAACTTYTCTAGAGAGAACCATAAGCTACAATTTTCCATTACAAAACAAACAAACAAACAAACCACCTTACCTCTTTTAGGGCTTTTAATAATCGAGGTCGCTTTTCTTCGACGCTTTCCCTGGACTGCTGCTTAAGCTTCCTTAGGAGTGCAGTAACTAAACAGACATTAACTATAAGATAAAAATATTCTATTTGTTTGTTAACGTCAAGATAATATAATTACTTTACAAATATTCACATGGCAATGGAAAAGGTATGCAAATGTAACATCCCAATCTTTAGGGAAACTCAATTTATAATAATTGTACATAAACTACGAGGATTACAGCGGGAAGAAAAGCTTCATTTTCTTTTTAATATATATTTATACATTAACTTAAAATATATTAAAAAATGAAGCTTTTCTTCCCGCTGTAATCCTCGTAGTTTATGTATATTATATATACACATGTCAATTTTTTTTTCTTTCTTTCTTTCTAAACACACATATTAGTGAACATTACATACATGTGTATTACCAAACATGAGCCTGGGGACTGACTAGCATTTACTCCCACCGAGACAATTCTTCAGCAGTGAGAAGCTCACTTATAGAGTGTTGTCAGTATATTAGAAACTAGTACTTTAATATATTACTAAACATTAACATATTATAATCCCAGGTGAAAAGCTTTCTACTATGGGACATGATAAAACCAAATACTACTACCAGCTACTAATAAATGCAGTAGAATATTTTCCTTTTACTACCTCACATTTGAGATGGATAAGTAATTAACTTGAATCATTATATTTGGCTGCTGGGCTGCTGAGATGTAATAGGAGGACAACAACGCATTGCYGATTTTTACATTAAATGCCATACATTTGAGTACTATACATGGAGCTGTTTCAATTAGATGGCTCTATACAGCTGAAATCCATTTCCAACTTCTAACCCTAATTCTAAATACAGAATGATCACTTATAGCTTTTTAAATAATTTAAGAGTCTTATCTTTACTCTACTTAACGTTTTTATCTTAACACAATTTCTTTCCTAACAAAATTAGAACATGAGTACAGCCTTACATAAAGATATATTTTTTAAARAATGTTTTGTAGATCTATATAAACCCTTCAAACAAGTAAAACAGAGATATTTATTTTTTTTTTTTGAAAGACTGTTTTCCTAATTTGCACAAGATATCTGTTTTGAGTAAATAAGAATTTGAGACTCTTACTCATTTGCCTGTCTCCATAACTGATGGCTTCTGCAAGAGGGCTCCATCCCTGAGCATTTTTCACCTTTACTGGAGCATTATGGGCTAAAAGCAAGTGGGCACATTCTGTAACAGAGTAAGTAGTAATATTTAGTTACAACAAACAACACAATTTTTAATAGTAATATCATCTGTAATACAAAAAAATGACACTTTTCAATGATAAAAAAGCAATGGATAATCAATATTTTAACAGRTTATTACAACATCTGGATTCTAATCCCAAACCTCAAACACACAAAAAATATTTAAAGCAAGCGAAGCACTTTCCTGTTCAATACTAGCATTAAAATCCTTATGCCTAAGTGATCAACCRTGACTTACATACAGAATTACCACCCTCCTGGTTTCCATATTTTGCTTTTTATAAAGGTGTATTTGCCTATGCGTGGGTATGCATGTATGCAGGCACACAAACACATAACAGCATTTTAAAAGCTAAATAGATTCTCTTGAGTTCATGCACAAAGGCCTGCATCTGGACATACTTAATGGTCTTGCACATGAGAAGGATGCGCAGCCTTCCCCCTTCCCCCTGTAAATGTCAACAGTGGCCCAGGCTGCTAGAAACCTGCCTAGAGCCACAGGGTTGGGGCAAGTTTTGAGAACTCTGGATAAGGATAAGGAGGGAAGGAGGGGAAGCTCTCACTGCAACACAAACCCAAGTATCTCCCTACCTGCTATAACATCCCAAGGCAACATCCCACACCCCACAGTAYGCTACAGTTACTCTAGCTAGGACAGGCAACATGGAAGAGGAAATCTCTGTGTGTTTCTGTGTTTTGAATATACTGTCCTCACTTTAACTGTACTTGACTGCTAACTGGTTTCCTCATGTATCATCCACCATCAACCATCTCCAAATGATGCAGCATTATCAAGCTGCAGCCTGAACAAATGAACGGGATGGGCAGGAATTACAGGGGAACTTCCTGGCTTTTCTTCTCCTGCTGTAGGCGGCACAGGAGAGCCATTCGAGATGCAAGAGCCGTGAGTCAGCGCTGAACCGCGCTTGGAAAGGAAGGACCGGAGCCGGGAACATGCCATCTCCAGCAGTCAATAAACAAGCCTGAACTACCTAATCATCCAACGGTATTTTTATGGCTGCTTAGGTAAGCACCACCACTCTAAACTGAACGGGCAAATGAGGGCGCGCTCGCTAGCCAGGGTGCATTTTTAGCTAAACTGGATGTACATTCACTCTATATTTCCCTTGGTAAAATATTAGCTATAATGTTGCTATTTGGAGCTGAACAACCAAAATGAATCCTTCTGGGGGGGGAGGGGGGAGGAAAATCAATCTGCAGTATCAATGGATTTGACTAAGCAGGCAGAAAAGGCCATAGGGTTGTTGGTAGATCACATACTAAGCAGTGATGAGATCTGAGCTATCAATAATGACTATCAAACATTATGCTTGGTGACATATGCAAATAGTCTTGCTAAACTGGAGCTATGTTTGAGTAAGCTTACCACAAGCACCCCTATGGTAAATCACAATTTAGGATTTTGCACTAAGACTGACCAGCAATACACAAAGAAGCCAAGAAGTGAACTACAAAACAAAATTTAAGATATGCATCCAGAAGAATTGTTTCTCCTCTCTTTGCTATACTAAACGCAAGGACATTATTCAGGAAAACTGAATAAAATGTCCCTAATGTCTATAATACACAGAAGTAGTAGTCAAAATTTATGTTTGCATCATGATCAATTTAGTCTTGATACTAAGAGAAGCTAAATTGTAAGGGCAGTTGCCACTGGAACAATCCAATCAGATTTTCCTTCACTTCATCCTTTTCATATTTACAATGAAATTTTAAMAAATAATTTAGATACAGTTGTCTTGAACACAAATAGACTAAGCAATCCATTCAAGTCTCACCCAGTCCCATCTTTCATGCAACTCTTACGAAGAATCTGAAAATGACTGTTTGTAATTCAAATGTACTATTAACAAATGAAGATTAAAATGCTGATAGAGCCTGTGCACGATGCTCAAAGCCACCAGCAGCATCAAGCAGGCTCCTCTTCGTTGTACAAGTACAGGTGAGGAGTGTCAGCAGTGCATGCCAGAGCTTTTCTAGCCTAGATTTGAAATACAAACCAGCCAAAAAAGCTTTAGAATACACGAAAATAGTAAATATTCAACTGTACTGAATTAAAATATCAGCATTATTAGAAGAAGCACCTTTGATCAAAATCGGTTACCAGTATTTCTAACTACAACAGCATCATACCATGTTATGTGGAAAATGCCCCTTCAAGACAGCTAATCACCTCATAACCAAACAAAATAGCCCACACACCTTACTACACCAAGAGGGCAAGGCTAGTAAACATTAACTAACCAGGGCTTGAAACAAACAGTGCAGTAAGGCACAATGCATCAGCAGATCATCGTTGCTTGACAGCGCGTAGATTTTAGCCTTGTAGCTTGCAACCCTCCTGCGCAGGAAACCGCGTTATTTGTGTTTGCTCAAGCAAATGGTACCGAGTTCATCAAGGAGGAGGACAACGGCAACAACCAGAAACGTGCTGAAGATGCTTGTGTGAGGGCATCCTCACACGCGAGCATTTAGGGAGCTTTCAGTAGCATGCAGGAACTGAGGATTCTGTCCRGATCCAGGCCCTGCCTACCCGGCTGGAAGAGCGCTCCACAGCCCCCCGCGGGGCCTCTGCTGCTTATGGCTGGCTCCCTTCTCAAAACTTTTCCCGAGTCTGTCCACCCTACTCCATGTATTGACTTCATTATACCTTATGAACTAGCCCTGATTTCTCCTTAAACCTTTCTCTCATGAATCTGGGAGGCTCCTCCTTCTCAGAAAAAACTATTCAGGTTTGAGCTGCTTTGAAACACAAGAACACATTAAGCAAAAGSGGGAAATCTCCCTCAGACACCCTCCAAATCTTGTAATAAAAATCTTGCAAATCTGTAATAAATCAATATTTTAAAATTTTAAGAACAGATAAAATTAATGGGTTTACCCACCTTTATGGCCCAACATCACAGCAAGATGTAATGGAGTGTTTCCTAAAATAAATAAATACAAAATATTAGATTCAATGCAACAAAAACCATTGCAATTCCTTCAGGAATTTGCACACACAGCTCAAAACTCGCATACTAAAAAAATTCAGCTACTGTGACCTAAAAAAGACACTAAAATCTGAACTGCATTTCTTAAAGAAGTCCTACATACTGTCTTAACATGGTACTTTTAAGGTAGGTACAGCTGAAACACAATTCACGGACAAAGCTTGTACATTTGTATCTTGAAACTTGATCTAGCTAAAGAAAGACCCAGTTATATTTTCAATAAAATGATACAAAACCTCTACACTTTAATGGTCTGAAAAGTCTGGTATTTTATAAAGTATGACAGATCTAGGGTAACAGCTACTCAAAGATATGTTTCTGATTAAAATTTTAAGAGCATATTTTATTAATTTTTCAAAGATTCTGCAAATTCTTTTACTAGTACAGCATTGGACAGGTTATGAAATAACAGTCCAACCTTTACTAAAAAAAAAAAAGCAGCCTTGCTATTCTAATGCCACATCTCAAAACAAACAAAAAATAATTAAAAAAACAAGATTATTAGCAGAAATTATAAACAACCTGCTGCTTTCCACGTTATGCATATGACATACTTTGCAGTTGTTTTCTTAAATATGAACAATGAGTTAGAGTTGTTTTTCTGCATTCATGCTGCTAACTAAAATTCTAGGTTTTTTTTTTTTTAATAAAGCCTATTGAAGCAAAACTATTCCATTTAAATATTACTCTGTACTTAAATATTTAAACCCTTTTTCAGTGAAGCTGAAAAAAAATGAAGGTAACAAGTTTATTTCACARTCCAATACACTGGATTTTAAGGGTATTTTACAGAACCACTTTAGCAATAAGGATTGCTACATGCAAAGGACAATGTTATTTCACTGCAAATCTAGAAGATAWAGCCCTAAACATGTGTTGATTCTCTTATAAAGAAGCATTACTGATATAAAACAGTATCATGAAATCTCTGATGAAGGCAGCAAAGGCAGAGTTCCTAAGTGCTTTTTAATTAGTTATTCAAAACACAGTATAAATTATTTCTCCTGCAAGTCACCAGCAACATCTCGGTTACATCCTCATTCATTATGCACACTTTAACTAAGCTAACCTCAAATTTTCTGTTAATAGATTTTGTAACCTCTCCAAGCGATGTCATATTTTAGAATATTGAATGCAACTCTTCTTTGTTAAGCCTCTAAAGTAATCATGTTATTGAGGAACAAACTTGACAATAAGCCAAAACATACGCTYGGAGAATTGAAATTATGCAAGACAGGGGAAACATTTTGCTCATCTAATTAGGCATTTTAACAGGGAAAAAAATATTAAAACCACTAGATGCTGTGTTTTCTCTTCAATTAATAAGCCTTAAAATAAATAAAAAGGACACCTTTCAAATGCTGAATAAAACAGAGATGTCTTTTCAGTCCAGAGGCAGATTGCTCAGGTACCTATGACAGGCTGGCACAGTAGCAAGAAACAGCAAAATAAAGAAAGCCAACCCGGCCTGTGACCGTTCTGAGAACTTTGATGAATTTAATTCAGCTGGTAAATGTGAACCGATATATCAGCCGTGTAATAACACACAACATTTCAAAACTCTCCAGGACAAGGTTGTGAGAAACCTGATCTAACTCTGATGGTATCTGTGCTTTGAACGGGAGGCTGGACTATGCTACCTCCAGGGATCTCTTCCAACAGAGAATTTTCTTTCATGCTGAAATCATATATACACACCAAAGAGCACAGCTCAAAAATTATAGTGGAAAATGSAATAAAACAGACAAGAGGGGGCAGGGATGGAGGCACATATAAAACAGACGTTTTTGTCTGTTTTGTCGAAGCACCGTTTTCGAGGAAGATGAAAAGTGTAAATGGAATTAAAAAAAAAAAAGAAGCCAACAACACAACCACCTCCCAAAAGTGTTTCTCCTTAACTACCAGAAGCAGTCAAAGCTTAAGCTTGGTGATAAACTGTCAGAAAGCCTCTTTCTCACTAGGCCAAGCCCAAGAGCAGCAAACTGTGAGAACTCCAGTTCCATTAACTGTCCATCTATTTCCCTTTCTCGGTGGGATGATGGTGGAGAAGGAGGAGGTATTTCCCCCCTAATCCACAGCAAGAAGGATCATCCTTCACGCTGGCTTTTTAAGCCAGTAAGCACGTGGTAAGTAGGAATCTAGGGATTAGCAGACATCAGTGTGATAAAATAGACATGAGCTGACGCACCAGAGGGAGAGGAATCACTAACAGGTAAGTGAGGAAAAGGCTTCAGGAAGGGAGGGGAGGCGGTGGGGGAGAACACAATACAGCAGTGCATGGTTGCTTTAGATAAGCCTGGAGCGTGGCAGCACAGACAGATCTTTCCTTGAAATATACACAGTAAACCAAACCTTGTAAAAACACATTAATCCTTTTGTTTTGTTTTGTTTTTGTTTTTTGTTTTTTCTTGGTCAAAATTCCACTGCTTCCTAATAGAAAGTACTTTCATGTGAAGCTTGATCCTGACCTGTCAACCAAACCATCTGTTACATCTGCACCCTCTCCCCAAAAGCTAACAGTCTCACCAAGAATCAAGGGCTAGAACCAGCCCTGGCACACTGCAAAAAAAATAGGCACGGCACAGCAYTTTGCCCAGTTCCATCACTAAACACTTTGGCCTTCCTGAAATCTGATTAAATCCACAGTGGTCTTAATGCTTTTTGGTCCAAACACAGTTATATCAGCAGCAAGTTTAAGTCTGATTTATTAAACTACGAAATATGCATGCAATTACATGTCACAAATGAAGAAACTGGGGTGCAGCAGTGGTCCCCAGAGTCTCAGCCTGCAGAATGCCATCTACACGGTCCTCCACGAGCAAGCTTTCCAGGCAGGAGCACCCTCCTTTACCCCACGATAGTCTTAGGCAGAGACCAGCCTGCACCCTGCCCAGGAGGACACAGAGGAGGTGAGCGCCTCGCAGCAGATGAGATCARCGCTGCTGGAGTCTCGCAGCGAGCGCGCACTGGCAGCCCTATCACTCCAGGAGCAGCAGGACTTATCAGGGTCTGAAGGGCAGCAGCCAAAGGCTTTCTCTGCTTCTCAGAATTCTGGCTATCTGGCAAGAACAGCGGAACAAATTTGCTTCTACTTCTTTGGGAAAGCTGGAGATCTCAAAGCATGGTGGCAGAAATCCCAGATTCACCCTTTAATTAGCACCAGTCACCACTGTATTCAAAGGGAATSTTCTCACTGCAACTCCAACACAGCACAACTTCCACTTCCATCGATCTTAAAATACTAACCATGATCAGCTGCTTATTYGTATCAACAAGAGCTGGGGCTTCTCCGGAATGTTTGCTATCAACAGCACACAGAATAATACTGTAATTAGACTGTCAAACCGCTCAGGGTTAAAACATGACATGTASTTTTGATTACTTCTACATAACTTATTCATCTTCCTGATAATGTTTGATTACTTTTAGACTGAGACTGTGTATAAATACACCTCAACAGCTGCAATCAAGTYCCCTCTCAGAGACTTCCCTTCTGATAATAACTCTGCTTGATTCACCATATAAACCAGTTACGTACCTGGAGACTATTTTATTGCTATCAGTAGCTTGGTAGTATTTACAATCCTCCTGCCCAAATTTAATCTGTGTGAACTACAGGGCCTTATTCCAAGGCATTACTCATACATCCGTGTCTAAAATACTGCAGGTGTACACCCAARATATGTAAACAAAAATAATCTGTACAAAGCAGAGCCCTTGCCTAATAAAAGCTTAAAAGTTAAACATRTATGTAGGTACRGGTACATTTTTGGCACACCTACAAGGKGCTTGCGGAGAGTAACTCAGGAAAAAGATCTGCCTCTTCTGAAACATGATAGTATATTGTTATTTCTAATACATATTTTTATTTTTCCTACCATTRCATATAAAAGATAGCTAATATGTACACTTGCAAGTTTCCCAAAAGCAATTCATTTCTTTTGGAATAGCAATACTGGCCCTACTCTCTAAATGGAGCTCGAAAAGCATCGCTCATTAGTAAATTAGCAAGACTACGCTCAAATTTACAAACACAGCAAACGTTTGTGTCATTAGAACACCATGCAGCTGGATTCTTCTGTCTTATTTTTGATTGTTATTGTAAACTGAGGATATTTACCCCCATAACTTATAATTCAAATATGTAAACAAATGAATCACGGAGTCAGGCAGAAAAATGACGGAAAGCAATAAGGTAACACTGGCCAGGCCTTTCAAAAAGTGCAAAGCAACACCTGAAGTAAACACCTGGAGGAAGATAAGGAGATGGAAATGCCCACTGATTTTTTACTCTGAAGTGTAAAGAGAAAGCAGAAAAGTGTTGATTTGAAAAATGAATATATAGTACACACACTCATATATACATATAAACCACAGTATCAATATTTGTGGTCAAGGATGTTAGAAGAACAAAGATGGGTCAGGAAGTGCCACAGATACCAGCGAAGCAAGTTAYTTGACGAGAAGTTGGGAGAGGCAGAGAGCAGAAATCAGTAGAAGAAAGAGGCRAAAAAGAGCTGAGCCTGTTGCTTACACTCGGCCAGCAGCMACAACCTGAAGGCAGAYGGCATGAAAAACACACTGCTCAAAAATAATGTTGAAACAAACAATTGTGAGAAATACTAGTGCCCATCTTAACTGGGAAACCAGAAGTCACTCTAGTATTGCATACGTTGGTTTGTATTTCAAAATGCCCACGATTGTCAGGGATGCGGTTTGTAATTCCAAATTACGTTATTCCTCCTCTTGTACCRATCCCAYGGATGGCTGCTGCTTAACGCTCCTTTTTGTTTTACACAAGGAAAACAAAGCAAACTGTCATCTCTTAATCAGGAAGAACAACATCCTTTAGGCACGGCTTCTCCAGACACCACATACCATTAAACTTABGTTCTCCAGCAGGAACAGACTGAGTTACTCTTGAGAAAAAGGCAGAAAACTTACAGATATGTAAAACAAACAAAAACACAAATTAAGCTTCTAAGGTAACTTGACAGGCTAGTTTACTTTTTCAACGTGTAGACTATTATTCCCTGAATCAACTGTGCTAAATGTCCTCGGGAGTTTTTAAGTATTTATATCTTATAAGGCAAGGCGAGGATCACATTGCTACTGCTGCTACTGCTGCTCCCACGTCTGGTGCAACCTCACAGAGCGAGGAGTGACCAGACAGCTGCTCTCAGATGCTTCAGGGCTACGGTTCGAAGGACTTTTTTCCTTCAACGAGACAAGAGTGAAAGATAGCTAAGAGCCAAGGAACCCACCCAAGCCCCTCTACATCCCGTCGCCTCCGCGGGAGAAGGGGTGACGGCTCCAAACAGACCAAGGAGCACCCTGAAGGGCCACGAGGTAACTCTGGCACGCAGGAAGAGCTTCCTCTTTGCATGACTATAAAAAAGCGACTAATGYGCCTGCTGCCATTARGGAGATTCCAGGAAATCTTGTCTRGGTGAGGCCGAGCCACGCCRGTTTTCGCGCAGAGCTCCCATTCTAGTTTCCACGGCCATCCCTAGCCAGCSSRGGCTCAGGAAAGATAAACACGGAAGCTAAAAATAGACAGATAAACAAACAAGGAGACAGACAACAGCTCGCGCTSGGCAGGCCCGGGGGAAGCGAAGCGCAGAGATGCGCGACGAAAGCCCGGGCAACCCCCCCGGGMCAGGGGCATGAGGGGCCCGCGGCGCCCGGGGGCCCGGCCCGCGCCCCGGGGCCGCCCCCTGCCCACGGGCCGCGCGGCGCTCACCGTGACTGTCCTTCTGGCCGATGCCCTGCGTGCGGATGAGCGCGGAGAGGCGCCGCACGTCGCCCTTGAAGACGCACTCGTGCACGGGGAAGTGCGCGCCGCTCCGGTCGGGCTCGGCGGCCGGGCCCGTCCCGCCGCCCGCCGGGCCCCCCTTGAGCGGCGCCCGGGGCTGGTGGTTGCTGAAGATGCGGTGGCCGCCGGCGCGGCCGCCCTTGCCGCGCCCGCCCGTGAAGAGCCCCCCGGGCGCCGCGGCCGCCTCCTCCTCGCCGGGCGCCAGCAGGTCCCCGTCCTCCTTGCTGGGCTTGTGGTCCCTGCGCAGCGAGCGCAGCTTCTCCCCGGTCATGGCGGCCGGCAGGCCGGGCGCGGCCGCCGCGATGAGGCGCTCAGAGCCGCGGCGGCGGCTGCCGCGCCGCCCGCATCGCCCGCCGGCCGCGGCACCCA